AATAAAATAAATATAAAATAATAATAATAATAATAATATATATACAACACACACACACACACACACACACACACATATATATATATATATATATGATTATATAGCATGTTTGACGAATGGAGAAGCATCTACTAAGAGTCCTAAATATACTTTAATATGAATATATAGTATGTGTACGGGTAGAGGAGCAAGGGATCACGCCGAATTGTTCAGTTTTCTCCGAGGGTGTGTTTCTTACCTTCTGTGAACGGGTCAGTACCTATTTATGTGAATATCCTCTCGGCCGAATAGAGTACATATGAACTCGGTAATTTTTTCTTTAAAAAAAATAGCTTTGTACCAGTTGCGCTGATGTTTAGGTGATTAGGTCTCATCATCAACTCTGAGAGGTGGGCAGCGTTGGGTTTTCAATGTGTAGGGTTTTACTTTCGTTTCGGTGCTTCCAATTAATTATTCCATAGGCGACCTATTTACCGGGTTTAACTACTCATGTTGTTCATTACGTGTGTTCTGCACAGCAGCGTGGATGTGAGACACGGTACAATCAGATGCCAATTCTGTTGTAGACACATAAACCACACCAAGCTGTTGTATCTTACTTTTGCGACGGATACCATTATATCTATATAGGAGTCACGCACACAGTTCTGTTCGCATAGATGCACATAGTGGGTAAATGCTATGGACAGACCTGGGACTTTAATAACAGCTTAGGTTAACAACGTAGCGAAGCTGAAGGATTCGCTGCCGCTATGACATCTATGAAGTACCTGAAGGTAAATCTGTGTTGTGGTAGTGATAGTAGGTGTTTATTTCGCTTGAGCTTCAGGACCATGTTGCAAATCGCGTGCACCATATGCTCATGTGCTGTATTTGGATGCGTGATTGATGGCCTTCCTTATCACACATGCTTGTATTCTGCACGACCGTCTTATACATGATTTGCGTAGCCAAAAGTGTGCATTCCACGTGTTGTTGAGTTAATTCAAGTTGGATAACTCCAATGAGGGCTATGACTTCTCAGTGTCTGGCCTTCTAGAGTATTCAGTCGGTTAAGTGTTTCGTATTGCAGTTGGGTGACAGTGTGCAGAAGCACTGAATCTATGCAATGTTTACTGAGTATGAAAGACGTGAATCAATGCACGGTAGAATCAGCCCACAGTGGACTGTTCAAATATGTGCACATGGAAGCATCGTTGGATATTCAACTGGAACGTCCTTTATGGCTGTGTGCGTGTACATACTAGCGTTGGTGGCTCTGTACTATGAAATTAGTATTACCAGAATATCAACTAGATTGAGTTATACATAACACATATACCTTGGCTATACCATCTCAGTGATCTCTGTCGACCTACGCACGCGTCATGTACGATCAGACACACAAGACTGATCTCACTCGCACATACTCAACTAGGTGCAACAAGTAACACTCTTTTTAATGGCCGCTATAAACTATTGTAGTAGCTATCGTACTATCGTATGTCACCTGCATTATAAATAACTGCCTCAGATGCTATGATATCTGAGAGCGTCTACAACAACAACTCATAGTTGATCTGTGAAATACTGCAGCTTGATCGTGCCTGCTGTCTAGTCTCAAGTACCTACCACGTAAGTACCTACCACGTTAAGTACCTACCACCTATTTCATACCTACAAACCACTTGCCACTGTATCTTTCGATTATAATACATGCTTTCAGCCATCTGCCAAATTCATCCCCACTGGCTGTATTTTGCATATACCATTAATCTTAACGATGCATAGCGTGCGCGAATAGTTTAAATCGAAACAAGCTATTTGTAAACACATACATATTTAAAACTGCTCAACCACGCAACATATTTCGTGTACCATATCTACCGCACATGTATTCAACTGTCACAAACCAAACCGATACAAGCGCAACACACACCGTAGCGTTATTGTGGTCTCTCCATGTTCGACCCATCACCTGTGCATCTTCGCCTTGATGGATATATTCATATCCGTGTTCATAGTCACAATGATGGATATATTCATATCCGTGTTCATAGTCACAATGATGTATATATTCATATCCGTGTTCATAGTCACCTTGATGAATATATTCACATCCGTGTTCATAGTCACCTTGAAGAATATATTCACACCCATGTTCATAGTCACCTTGATGAATATATTCACACCCGTGTTCATAGTCACCTTGATGAATATATTCACATCCCGTGTTCATAGTCACCTTAATGAATATATTCATATCCGTGTTCATAGTCATCTTGATGAATATATTCACATCCGTGTTCATAGTCATCTTGATGAATATATACATATCCGTGTTCATAGTCACATTGATGAGTACATTCACATCCGTGTTCATAGTCATCTTGAAGAATATATACATATCCGTGTTCATAGTCACATTGATG